CCAAAATCATAAAATATTCTCCTGTTTTCTTTTCTTTTGATTTTTTGAGACAGAGTCTCGTTCTGTCCCCCCGGCTGGAGTGCAGTGGCACAATCTTGGCTCACTACAACCTCTGCCTCTCAGGTTCAAGCGACTCTCCTGCCTCAGCCTCCCAAGTAGCTGGGATTACAGGTGCCTGCCACCATACCTGGCTAATATTTGTATTTTTAGTAGAGATGGGGTTTTGGCATGTTGGCCAGGCTGGTCTTGAACTCCTGACCTTAGGTGATCTGCCTGCCTTGGCCTCCCAAAGTGCTGGGATTATATGCATGAGCCACCATGCCCAGCTGTTTTCTTTTAAAAGCCTACTCAATTTATTCTATCTTCTGTTTTCTTCGAAAAGCCTACTCAATTGGATTCTTTCACAGTAATATCTATCTTAATTGATTTGTGTGTGTATGTGATTATATGATCTGTGATAGGAATCCAAGTACATTTTTTTCTGTATGAATATTCAATTTACCCTGCATAATTTGTTGAAAAAGCCGTATTTCCTGTTACCTTGCAGTGCAGTTTATTTTTGCATTAATCAAGTGATTAAATATGAGTGAATCTGGTTTTTAGATTCACTCATAAATACAATGAAACCTGTATTTGGTTTCATTGATATGTATTTTTCTTTTTTGCCGATACCACACTCTCATAGCTAATATAACTTTATAAGTGATATAACTTTATAATAAATCGTGATATTTGGTCAGGCAAAACTTCCAAATTTGTTCTTGTTTAATTGCTGTGGCTATTTGTGTCCCTTTGTATCTCCATATAAATTTTAGAATCTGTTTGTCAGTTCCTGCCAAAAAGTCTGCTAGAATTTTGGTTGGTATTTCATGGGCCACTTTAAGTGTGTTTTTGTGTAAGTTTATAGAAATGAAGTGTTTAATATTCAGGAGTCTTGCATAGTTCCCTCATTTATCCTAACAGTTTGTCAAGACTTTGGAATTTTTTATGTATATAATCATGTTGACATGATTAATGACAATCTCATATCTTACTAATCTTCATAGATTTTTTTTTTTTTCATTTTACTTTTTCTGGCGTTATTGCTTTGGGCAGGACCTTCATTACAATGTTGAATATAAGTGATGGTAGTAGACATTCTTATTTTCTTCCTAATCTCAGAAGAAAATAATGCACTTTCAATATTTCACCAGTAAGCATAATGCTCTGTTGGTGTGCTGAAAATACATTGCTAGGCAAAAACAAAGCATACAAAAATATAACTCGTGTCCTTATAAGGATTGCTTTATAATATTTACTTTTGAGGTAGGGGGTAAGGGGATACTTCTGTTGTCTATCTCAATTATTATTTTTAACTTTTATTTTAGGTTCAAGGGTCCATGTGCAGGTTTGTTACATATACGTATGTAATGTGTCACAGGGGCTCGGTGTACAGATTATGTTATTACCCGGGTGTTAAGCATAGAACATAATATGTAGGGTTTTAAAAATTATTATGCATACATCATAGTTGTATATGTTTATGGGGCACATGTGATATTTTGATATAAACTTACAATTTATAATGATCAAATCTGGGTTATTGAGATATTTATTGCCTCGAACATTTATCATTTCCTTATATTGGGAACATTCCAAATCTTCTCTTTTGAAATATATAATAAATTATTGTTAACTATATTTTTTGTGCTTAAACCTTTATTTGTTTATAGTTTGTTACAGCAACTGTCTTCTTTATTTGTATTTTTGAGTTCATCAACCTCCTCCTCTCCTTCTACCCTCAAGTAGGCCCCAGTGTTTGTTGTTTCCTTCTTTGCGTTCACGTGTAGTCAATGTTTAGCTTCCCCTTATAAGTGAGAAAATGCGGTATTTGGTTTTCTGTTCTTGTGTTAGTTTGCCTCCCTGTTGATCCATGTTGCTGCAAAGGATGTGATCTCATTCTTTTTTATGGCTGCATAATATTCCGTAGCTTATGTGTTCTAGATTTTCTTTATCCAGTCTGCCGTTGATGGGCATTGAGGTTGATTCCATGTCTTTGCTATTGTGAATAGCGCTGCAATGAACATATGCATGCATGTGTCTTTACGGTAGAATGATTTATATTTCCTTGAGCATACACCAAGTAATGGAACTGCTGGGTCAAATGGTAATGCTGCTTCGAGTTTTATTATCTTAAATAAGAAATTATTTCGGTTTAATAGGTTAAAAATGATTTAGATTAACTTTTTCTTCTCGTGTCAGTAAGTTGTGTTTTTAAAAGACTGCTGACTTTATCCATTTTGTCAATGTTATTGGAAAAAACATGTTTATAATGTCATCTTAATACTTTCTAAAATCTGTGCAGTCTACAGTGTGGTGGTACCTTTTTCTATTTGTGTTATTATTAATCTGTGGTTTTTTTTCTTATTTTCTTGATCAGCCTTGCTAGAGCTCTATTAAATTTATTAGTCTTAACTGATTTTGTTTTTATTGTTTATTTCTATTGCATTAATTTTTTCTCTTTTAAAATTTATTTTCTTAAATTTTCCTTATTTTCCTTGGTGTGATTTGCTGGGTTTTTTTTAGCTTCTCAAGTTGACTTATATGATAAATTTTAAGCTGTTTTTCTTTACTAATAAATACATTTAGTACTTTAAAATTTACTATAAGCACCTTAACCACATTCAATGTATTGATATTATGTATCTTTACTGGCATTCCATTAAAAATGTTTTCTAATTTTTTTTGACTTAAGGATTATTTAGGTGTGTATTTCTTAGCTTTCAAGCAGTTGGAAATTTCATAGTTTTTAAATTTTCTCTTTTTCTCTATCATTCTGTTATTCATGTCTAGTGTAAATTTACTGTGGTTAGGCTTTGAAGATTTCATTCCTTAAAATCTGTTGAGGCTTGCTTTATGGTCCTGTGTATTGTCAGTTTTGGTAAATGTTCCATGGGCCTTTGTAAAAAAAAACTGAATTCTGTTATTGTTGGTTGCATTTACGTCAGCTTGTCAATTATGTCAATTTTGTCATCATGTAGATTTTTTCTATCCTTATTGATTTTTTAATTCTGTCAGTTCTTGCTTCACACACACACACACACACACACACACACACACTATTGGGTGTATACAGATTTAGAATTGTTCTATGTTCCTGGTGGTTTGATTGCTTTATTGATCCACCATCTTAGTAGTGTTTTTTCCATTTTGGTGTTTGTATGGTTTTTCTATCAACCTTTCTGTGTTCCTATATTTAAAGTTTGTTTTGTGAGCAGAATACACACTTTTTTCCTAGTCTGATAATTTGGTTTTTAATTGGACTATTTTCCGTCTTATGTCATTTGCCTTATTTTTGTCATGAATTTTTATTCCACATAATTTTTAAATGCCACAGATATTGTTAATTTTATTTTGTAGAGTTAATATTCATTTATGCATATTCACAAAATTATTTTTTGGTGCTCTTTATTTCTTCTTGTACTCCTAGTTTTTGTCCAAGATCATTTTTCTTCTGTTAGAAAGATCTATGTCTAGGATATAAGAAATGCTTTCCTGATGATAATGAATTCTCTGTATTTGCTTGGCTAAAAACATCTTTATTTCATCTTAATTTGAAGGAATATTTTTTCTGGGTATAGAAATCTAACCAGATGGCATTTAATAGTCTTGGATTTTCAAATAATTTTCATTATTTTTAATATTTACATTGATATTGGTATTCTAGATGATTTCATGAACTTTCATCTCCTCCTCCTTCCTGGCATTTTTAAATGGAAATAGTGCAGAATTTGGAAAGATAAATGCCTTAATTCAAAAGTCATTTTTACCATTTACTACCTGTGTGAACTTGGTCAAATCATTTAACTTTTCTGAGCCAATTTTTAATCTATAAAGTGAGAAAAATATTACATGGGCTGTGTTTCACTGGGAAGTTATGAGGGGACTGTTGCGATGCTGTTAAGTGCTTTGTAAACCCTAAAGTACCAATTTGCTCAGCTAGCAATTTTTAGTGTTATTATTTACTGGAACAGAAATATTCTCAGTGTATGTATCCAGAATTTTCTTACAAATGCAGATTTTGATGAGCACCCACAAAATAGTTCAATGATATTATTAATGTATTTATTTATGTCTATCCTTTGTTATATTAAGGACAGTGTTAAAAGTTACATAAAATATAACTTACTCAAGGTCAGTCACGAGTTTATTTCTCATCTTTCAAGTGACTAACATGAAAAGAAAAACCTGGACAGTTACATAATTCATGATGTCCGTAAGATAAAAATAATTCATTATTCAGGAGAAGTGCCATTATTTCTTAATACTAAGTTCAGACAGGAATTTCCCTTTCAGTTTTTTTTTTATGATGTAGAGTTATTTAAAATATTTTCCTGCTGGTTTAGAGGTTATTGATTTGCATGGTTAATCCAAATCAGTGTTGGACTTATCTAGAATTTTAATATTCTGTTTCATACTCACCATGGGAGAATTATACATTTTAATGTGAGCTTCAAGTAGCTGCTCTTCCACTCCACTTGCAAATGGATTATATTCAGAGAATAATAAATAATGCCAATTTCCTTTTCAAAATGCTTGGATACACATTAGAGGGAAGGTTAGGCTGTTAAAATTATATTTTGCATATATAAAATCATCAAAGTGCCTTAGGAAGATAATATTTAGCTGCATTTTATTTATTAGAGGCTAGTTTAAAAAAAATCCTTACATTGATCAAATACTTAGAATCCTTACTATGTGCAAGCATATTAACTCTTGGTCTGTTTATTCTTTGATAAAAAAGCTGTCATTCAGACTTACTTTTGTGCTTTATTCTTTCGCTTTTTTTTAAATAAACATTTAAATGGAAAAAAAATTTGAAACTGCAGTTTTTAAGTCAACTACTGATTGTACGTTTGTGCGTCACAGCCTGTGCCCCAACACATCTGAGGTTTTGTATGACGAAAAAATGTAAAATAGGATATTTGTTCCTTATTTAAATTCTTTGACTTTGTCTTCAGGTCACTGGCATGCATTTTATATGAGATGTGCTGCATGAATCATGCATTTGCTGGCTCCAATTTCTTATCCATTGTTTTAAAAATCGTTGAAGGTGACACACCTTCTCTCCCTGAGAGATATCCAAAAGAACTAAATGCCATCATGGAAAGGTATGGAAATAAATATGTTGTCACAGAAATAATTTAAAATTGTAGTTATATTTTAGTTCATTTGAAAACTAATTTTCTTTTTAAACATTACAGCATGTTAAACAAGAATCCTTCATTAAGACCATCTGCAATCGAAATTTTAAAAATCCCTTACATCGATGAGCAGCTACAGGTATTTAAAATAAAAGGGATTCGGAAAACAGGTATTAGCATTTATATACACATTCCATGACTTGAAGATGTGCATTTGGGATAAGATGCAGTAAGGATTAACCAGAAGGGAGGAAAAAGATTAAAAAGCAGCTGAGAAAAATGGTAGTCAGGACAATCTCTCAGCAAAACAAGTGTGTGTGAACTTCCATTCCCCAGTGCCACTGAAAATGAGAAATTAGGGCTCTGATTTTCTGCCAAAACTCAACATCCACCCTTTGGAGCTCTGTTGACAGCTCTTACCTGAACTCTTTGAAACTATATCCCTGCAAAGACAAGACTATACTAACAGAGAATACTAAAATCTAGGATTTTCATTGAGCATTTATAATCCCAATCCTTTATTATATATCTCTCTAATACTTTTTAATGATTAGCTAAGTTTGTTTTGTTTTCTGGTAAATTAGGAAATTTGATATAGAGGCTATGTCTCAGGTATTAAGAAAGCAGCAAATGGAACCCTCTTTAGAGGGCCTTTTTTGTTTTGTTTTGTTTAACTTCTCAGGGTTTTACAATACAAATCCCTGAAGCAAGTTTCCTCTAATTTTATACATACCTTTAAGAGGAACCACAAAATGGTAGTCCACCTTAAACACTGTGCATACCTTTTCATCAGTGGGGCATGTTCCAAATCCAAAGGAAGCAAAGGTGATAAGTGATGTGTACTTATTAGTTAAGTGCTGGGCACTGTGCTGACACCAGGGAATGCCCAAATGAACAGACATGTTTCCTGTCCTTTTGAAGCTTGACTGCTAGTGAGAGAATCCAATAACCAAGCAATAAAATAAGTATATGCCTAGTACTAGAAAGAAAGTATGATAAACAGGATACTCTAAAAATAAGGGAGAAAGGCAGGGCTTTGGTGGTCAAAGGAGTAGATGACATTTCTTCCCCAGCGAGCCAATGGGAAGCAATCAGCCATGTTAAGAGTCTCAGAAACAGTGTTTGAATCACAGGGAATAGCTGGCACAAAGGTCCTGATTATGTTGTACCTCAGAGGTAGATATAGATCGGAGGGTTCTTATGCAAACATATGCTCTCAGTGAAGCCCATGCGGTCATGGGGAAGGCAGGGCAGGAAAGGGAGGCAGGCTGAAGTTTCCTGGTACATGCAGCTCTCCTTACGTGCAGGCAAAGTGGGCGCCAGTAGAGCCTGCAGGCGTCCTCTGAAAAATTGCCTCATATTCTGGTTGTGGGGATCAAAAACACGCTGAAGAGGCTGTGAGCATTCCAAAAAAAGATGAAAAGGTATTCACAGGGATCTGCTGGGGCCAGGCTGAGGCAAGTGAGGCCCTTGACTCTGGGGCAAAATTTCAGGGGACACTAAAAACTCATAATCAAGATAAGTTCATATATATATATATATATATATATATATATATATGTATATATGTGTATATATATATGTATATATGTGTGTGTATATATACACACACATATACAAAATTTTTGGAGATGGAGTTTATTTGCTCTTGTTGCCCAGGCTAGAGTGCAATGGCGCAATCTTGGCTCTCCACAATCTCTACCTCCCGGGATCAAGCGATTCACCTGCCTTAGCTTCCCAAGTAGCTGGGATTACAGGCATGCATCATCATGCCCGGATAATTTGGTATTTTTAGTAAGGATGGGGTTTCTTCATGTTGGTCAGGCTGGTCTCGAACTCCTAGTCTCAGGTGATCTGCCTGCCTCAGCCTCCCAAAATGCTGGGATTACAGGCATGAGCTACCGTGCCTGGCTGATAAGTAATACTTAATGCAATATTTTAAAAATCCAAATTAATGCTTAAAACCCCTGGTAACAAAATATTAAAAATTTAAAGACAAGATCCAGCAGGGCCAGGATGAGGGTGAGGCAAGTGAGGTAGATTTGTGTAAGTTTAGGGTTGGATCCTGTCTTTAAAGTTTTGCTATTGTAATCTTTATTCTTATTCAAAATAAAATAATTTTGATTTTTAAAAATAATGTTTACTAAAATGGTTTATCTTGGTTACTGAGTTTTTTGGTGCTCTTTTAGATTTTGCGCCTGAGGTATTTTACTGGCCTAAACCTTGCACTAGCTCTGGGAGTGTAGACACTGTCCTCCTCAGGCTGGGAGGTTGGGAAAAGCTTGTGTCTTCCTGTAGCTGAAGGTAGGCCTGCCCGTGACTGGCAAAAGGGAGTGAACAAGCAATGTACCATGAAGCTGCAGAGACAGGCAGGAGCCTGACCCTGCAGGATCTTGGAAAAAGCTACCGTGTAATATTTGTAACTCAGGGAAAAATAGCATGCTTTGTTCTCAGGCTTCCTGCCATGGTCAAAATTACCCCAAATCTAAAAAGATACTTGGTAATTTATTCCCTTTCATCCCTAAAGAGGAGCCTTTAAGGTATGTGAGGGTTGTTGATCTTTTTTTTCAGCACCTAATGTGTAGATATTCAGAAATGACTCTGGAGGACAAGAATTTGGATTGTCAGAAGGAGGCTGCTCATATAATTAATGCCATGTAAGTAATTGCTTTGTTTTTAAAAAGCCCATCGAGTGTAAATGTTAAATGCATTTGTCTTTAAAAATCTATTAGTGCTAAACTGACAGCGTGGAGCATCCTAGAATTCACTTAAGTCTTGCCAAGAAATTAAGGAGCTTCAGGAACTTGTTGTTCCAAAGCCCTTTACCCCAGGTGGTACCAAATTGAAATCATAAAAGTTTAAACCACTACACAGCTTACAGATCTGCAGGGTAGCCCTGCAGTTGCCTTGCAAGGATATAGAAACAGTAATATCTCAAATATTTAGTAACACTTATGCTAATGATCCTTCTATAATAACCATAAATGGCTTTCACATGTTGTTTGTTTAATGTGAACTGGCAGAGTGTCTACTGAAAAGAGAACATTGTGGAGTCCTGGGACAATTGAAAATAAGCTGAAATTTACTTTTTTTTTTGAAATATACATTCCCTCACAAAAGAACTAAACAATGTATTTCCCAAAGAACTGTAAGTATTTTCTGATCTCACTTCTCTCTCCTACTTCATTCGAGATTTTTGTTCTATAACTTGCAAGAACCCAGAGTACTAGGTTCTTATATTTTGGGTTTTTGCATACTTGTACAGTCTTGTGCAACTGTGGTGTACAAGAGGTGTGCAGTACAGTGGGGTGAAAACAGAAGGCTTCAACAGGCTGACCTAGCACAAACATATTCCTCCAACACCCAGTCCAATGCTTCTCAGCTCCACCATGTTTACTTCCCATCTTCACTTTCAAACTGAGGAAATTTGCATAATTTCCAGTTAAGATCCACTACGTACCACTGAAGGTAAATTTTTAGATATGTTCCTAATAACCTTGTTTTTTTCATTTATTATCTGCTATTTCAAGAAAGGTTGAAATTTCCAATGTTATTAACTAGAGATGTGAGAGTAGTAGATATTTAAAAAATACTGGACTAGCTTTAGCTATCATTTTGTAACTGCAGTTATAAAACTGACACTGTTTACAATTAACAGCGTTCTAGAATCCAGTTGTTTGGAGGGTACTTTACATTATGAAATACTGATTTCAGATAGTCACTGCCATTTTTGAGATCTCTGACTATGTTTCAGGGAGATCCACTGGCCTGACAAAAGAAGAGATGTATATTCCTGAAAATTGCATGTCCTCTGGAGTCTGTTGTCTGGCTGGTATTAGAGAGGTATTAGAACTGTCCCCAGAGGTCATTACAATTTTCTCATAGTGTTTGAGTTGAGTGCAAGAGGTGTTCTATAGTATTGGGCCCTAACCAAGTCAGGAAGGGAAGCAAATGCCATTGAGAATGTGGTTGGAGTTCTTTCAATGCGCCTTCCCTCTGAAGAGCTTTAGGAGTGCGCCCATCATCCCTGTCCACCTGGCTGCCTCTAGTCGGCCATCTTGCCCCCCCTCCCTCATGCTACATTTTATTGACTATTCCAGGCTTAATGTAGTAGATATTTTTGCTGCAGCATGATGTAGTGGTTAATTGCACAGATTAATAACACTCTTTCAATTCAAATTCTAGCTCCCAGGTAATACTCTACATTACTTTGGTCCAGTTTTTTAACCTCTCTATGACTATAAAAATAAATGTATCTACTTCACAGAATTGCTCTGCGCTTAAATAAGTTAATTGATGTATAGTGCTTGTAAGGGTCATTACCTGCTAAAATGTTAGCTAACGTTACTATTTAGCCTCTCAGTTAAAGAAACATGCTTACATGAATCGTACATTGAAAGAGGTTTACGTACTGGTTGTTGGGATCAGAAACACTGAAGAGGCTGTGAGGCTGTAGTCAAAAGGTATTCACAGGGATCTGCTGGGACCAGAATGAGGCAAGTGAGGCCCTTGGCCCTGTGGCAAAATTTCAAGGGGACACCAAACACTTGTAATCAAGATCAAATTTTAATGCAGTATTTTAAAACTCCAAATTAATGCTTAAAATCCCTGGTAACAAAATACTCAAAGTTTAAAGACAGGATCCAGCAGGGTGAGGCAAGTGAGGTAGAATTATATAAGTTCAGGGTTGGATCCTGTCTTTAAAGTTTTGTTATTGTATTCTTTATAGCTTTTTGATATTAATTTTGATTTTTAAAAATAATGCCCATGAAAATTATCTTGGTTACTGAATTTTTCGGTGGCCCCTTAGATTTTGCACCTGAGATATCTCGTTTGCCTAAACCTTGTGCTGGCCCTGGGGGTGTAGACATTTGCTGTTACAGGCTGGGAGGTGGGAAAAAGCTTGTGTATTCTTGGGATCTAGGATTTGAACCTACAGGGTGTTATTAATCTGTGCAATTAATTACTGCACCATGCTGCAACAAAAATATCTGCTGTATTAAGCTCTGAAATCCCAGCTGGAGGAGACCCCTTGACTACCAGGGACACTTGAGTTGGTAGGGAGAGCTGCTTAGAGAAGTGGTAGGGACACCATGCCAGCCAGTGTGGAGCCCAGAGGGTTTGGCGTGAGAGTGTCTGCAGCAGAGCACACCCAGGGAGACCATGCCCCTAGGCTTGACCTGCTCCCATGGGACACTTTAGATCCAGGGGAACTGTCAGACCTGAACTCTGCAGGGCAGTCTTGTCCATCCGAGGGGGCTGGTCTGACCTGAGCTCCCCTGAATCTTCTGGCCTCTCCTGAGGCCCATCTTGGCCACCCCTGCTTGCAGTGCAGCTGCAGGTACCCTGGAGGTCCACACCACAGCTCCTGTACTGCTGATGAATAACGTCTGGCTGGAGGAGAGATCCCTTGGGGAAGCCTGCTTCCTCCTTGAACTGCAGCTTCCCCAGGCCCACAGCCACTCACCTCCCGCCGTTGCTTTTCTGGAACATACGTACATGGGCAGATTTTGACTTTCCTGCCCTGCCAGCATGCATATGTATGCACACAGCTGTGCTACTGCTGCTGGTAGGAGTGTATCCCTCCTTACCTCCCCTGCCATACCACCATTGCAGTGGGAGCCTTGGCAGGCACAGAGATAGCCAGCCCTGGCCCTGCCAGCATCCTGCTCCTGCATCAACACTGCTGTTGGAGTGAAACTAGATACAGAGAACAGTGGACCCTTCCCTGTCCTGAGCAGCCACCCCTACCTGTGTCAGCATGCACAGAGGTTGCACATAGACCTATGCCCACCAGCACTGAACCCCTGTGCTAACAGCGCCACCAGCAGGACCACATGCACAGTTGCCGGTGGAGGGCCCCGACTCCCTAAGCCATTCTGCCTCTGCTGCTGCTGTGAATGCCCACAGGGAGACAGGTACCCTGACACCTGCTATCACCCATCTACAGCTGACAAATGTGCACCCCTCCACACTGCCACTGCCACTGCCACTGCCGCTGCTGCTGCTGGCATGTGCAAACAAGGATGGATCCTGCTGCTACCATCCTACAAAATGCTTTGGCTGGCATCACCCATCAGAGTGTAGTGACCAGCTGTCCAGGAGCACATTCCCCGCAACCTCCAACCCAGTGCAATGAGTTGACAACCTTGAGGAGCCAGAGAGCAAAGTTGGGACCCATTACAAGTCCCCCAGAGTTAGAGCACAGTCCAGCAGTTGGGATCTGAGTGCTGGCTGCCTAAAATTTTCCAGAAGCCAAGCCAGTCTACTGAATCCACCTTATACCACAATCAAACCCTCAAAGTTATCAAATAGAATAAACGGAAAGAAAATCCAAAGGATAGCAACTTCAAAGATTGAAGGAACTTCCACCCACAAAGATGAGAAAGAACCAGTGCAAGAACTTGGAGAACTCAAAAAGCCAGACTGCCTTCTTTCCTCCAGATGACCACAGTACCTCTCTAGCAAGGGTTCTGAACCTGACTGAGAAGGTTGAAATGACAGAAATCGAATTCTGAATATTAATAGGAACGAAGATCATTGAGATGCAGGAGCACATTGAAACACAAACCAAGGAAGCTAAGAAACATAATAAAATGGTATAGGAGCTGACTGACAAAATAGCCAGTATAGAAAAGAATGTAACTGACCTGATTGAGCTAAAAAACACACTACAAGAATTTCAGGCCAGACAAGGTGGCTCACGCCTGTGATCCCAGCACTTTGGGAGGCTGAGGTGGGTGGATCGTTTGAGGTCAGGAGTTCAAGACCAGCCAACATGGTGAAAACCCATCTCTACTAAAAAAAAAAAAAAAAAAACTTAGCCAGGTATAGTGATATGTGCTTGTAATCCCAGTTACCAGGGAGGCTGAGGCAGGAGAATCGTTTGAACCTGGGAGGTGGAGGTTGCAGTGAACTGAGAGTGCCATTGTATTCCAGCCAGGATGATGGAGAGACTCCATCTCAAAATAAAGAAAAAATGCAATCTCAAGTATTAGTATCAGATATAAACCTAGCTGAGGAAAGAATCTCAGAGCTTGAAGAATAGTTTTCTGAAATTACACAGGAAGAATAGAGAAAAATGAATGAACAAAACCTGTGAGAAATATGGGATTATGTAAAGAGATCAAATCATGTCCCTGAAAGAGGTATGGAAAGTGGAAGCAACTTGAAAAACATAGAAATATGTTACATAGAAACACAGAAATATCATCCATGAGAACTTCCCCAACCTAGCTAAAGAGGCCAACACTCAAATCAGAAAATGCAGAGAACCTCACTAAGATGCTTCACGAGATCATCTCCAGGACACGTAAGCATCAGGTTTTCCTAGGTCAAAATGAAAGAAAAAATGTTAAAGGCAGCTGGAGAGAAAGGTCAGGTCACATACAAAAGGGAAGTCGATCAAACTAACAGTGGATCTCTCAGCTGAAACCCTACAAGCCAGAAGAGATTGGGGACCAATATTCAGTATTCTTAAAGAAAAGAAATTCCAACCAAGAATTTCATATCTAGCCAAACTAAGCTTCATAAGTGAAGGAGAAATAAGATCCTTTTCAGACAAGCAAATACTGAGGGAATTTGTTACCACCAGACCTGCCTTAATAAGTCTTCCTGAGGGAAGCACTAAATATGGAAAGAAAAGAACAACCGTACAAACAAGTCTGCAGAATAACCAGATAACTTCATGATGACAGGATTAAATCCACATGTATCAATACTAACCTTGAATGTAAACAGACCATATGCCACAATTAAAAGGTACAGTGTCAGTTTGGATAAAGAAGCAAGGCCCAACTGTATGCTCTCTTCAAGAGACCCACCTCACATGCAAAGACACACAAAGGCTCAAAGTAAAGGGATGAAAAAAAATCTACCAAGCAAATGGAAAATAGGAAAAAGCAGAGGTTGCTATTCTGATTTCAGACCAAACAGACTTTATACCAATAATAATAAAAAAAATATAAAGAACATCACATAATGATAAAGGGTTCAATTTAACAGGAAGATCTAACGATCCTAAATATGCATGCACCCAATACAGCAACACCCAGATTCATAGGGCAAGTTTTCAGAAAGCTTCACACCTGTCAGAATGGCGGATCATGAGGTCAAGAAATCAAGACTCTCCTGGCCAACATGGCGAAACCCCATCTCTACTAAAAATACAAATATTAGCAGGGTGTGGTGGCACACACCTGTAGTCCCAGCCACCTGGGAGGCTGAGGCAGGAGAATCGCTTGAACCCAGGAGGCGGAGGTTGCAGTGAGCTGAGATCACACCACTGCACTCCATCCTGGTGACAGACCGAGACTCTTGTCTTGAAGAAAAAAAAAAAAAAGTAAAAAAATAGATGCTGGTGAGATTGCAGAGAAAAAGGAACATTCATACACCATTTTTCATGGTGTATAAATTAGTTCAACCATTGTGGAAAACTGTGGCGATTCCTTAAAGACCTAAAAACAGAAATATCATTTGACCCAGCAAGCCCATTACTAGATATATATCTAAAGGTATATAAATCATTCTGTCATAAAGATGCATATATGCATATATTCATTGCAGCATTGTGTACAGTAACAAAGACATATCATCAACCTAAATGCCCATCAGTAGTAGACTAGATGAAGAAAATGTGGTACATATACACCATGGATACTACACAGCCATAAAAATAACAAGATCATGTCCTTTGCAGCAACGTAGAGCTAGAGGCCATTATTCTTAGCAAAGTAACGCATGACCAGGAAACCAAATAACACATATTCTCACTTATAAGTAGGAGCTAAATGATAAGAACAGATGGACACATAGAGGGAACAACAGAGATGGAATTTTCAGAGGGTGAAGTGTGGGAGGAGGGAGAGGATCAAGAAAAATAACCAGTGGGTACTAGGCTTAATACGTGGGTGACGAAATAATCTGTATAACAAACCCCTATGACTCAGGTTTACCTATATAGCAAACCTGCACATGCAACCCTGAACGTTAAATAAAAGTTAAAAAATAAAAAAGATTTAGCTATTACAATACTAGCATTTTGGAATACTCTTTATGTGCCAGACACTGTGTATATGTTAACTCACATGATATTCACTGTAGCCCATTCTTTACAGATGAGAAAACTGAGATTCAGGGAGGTTCAGTTACTTGCTGAAGGCCGCAGAGCTAATTAGTAGTGGAGGTGGGATTGAAACCCTGCCTAACTCTAAAGATTGTGTGTTTTATCCACATGGTGGAATTACTGTGCCGTTCTATTTACTCTTTAGTGGCCAAGATCCTAATTTGTTTTACATATGAAAACTAGTCATTGGCAATGAAATGAGCAGGAATTTGGAAAGTGAATAATTTGCTTTTAAACAAAAATCCAATTTGAAAAATTCTGCTTATTAACTATAGTCCTGGTTGGCTCATTACATGCCCAAAGCTAATTAGTTTTTGCCTGGCCTGCCTCAAGATGCTTTTGCTCTCGGTAGTGTAGTGATACTTTTATAAAATATTTGTTTCATTTCTCTGAACATATTTGGAATGGGTTATATGAGGGGAATCTTTGTTATATTTCTAGGCAAAACAGGATCCACCTGCAGACTCTGAGGGCGCTGTCAGAAGTACAGAAAATGACACCAAGAGAAAGGATGCGGCTGAGGAAGCTCCAGGCGGCCGATGAGGAAGCCAGGAAGCTGAAGTAAGTGCCTTTCCTTGAGGCACTCACGCCCTGGACTACCACTCAGGGCTCTCAGGGAATTTACAAAGAAAAGCAAAAACCAAAACAAGAAACATCAATGCATACAGTTAGGTATTTATGTGTTTATTCATTTTTTCATTCACTCCAAGATGAATATTGAGCCACAGATTGAATGTCAGGTGCTATTAATATCAGGCTTTCAGTCTTGTGTGAAGGAAAAATGAACTATTTGGGAGGTTATTAATGACGAAAACAGAGTCAGTTTCCAAATGAAACCTCATCGATGTTGACAGCTTCTGTACATACCCCAGCAGGAGGATGAAAAGGAGGCATCATTGTTTTACCCGGATTCCCTGGGTTCTTGCTGTGCACCTTCTACCGGGAGACCTCACTTATTTATAGAAGGGAGACTTTGTTGGCAGGAAATCATTAACTTTTTGAAAAAGTAGACTGGAAACAGAGCTCTTTTCTGTCAAGTGAAGCATTTAGAAAAGTCTATGCTCAGGGCAGTGCTGGTGGTGGGAAATGTCACTAGTGATTAGAGTATTTACATGAAAAAGTGAAATTTCAAGTGTTCGCCGGGATGTACAGAAAAGGGAACCCTTGTACAGGAGTGGTGAGAATGTAAATCAGTACAGCCATTATAGAAAAATAGCATGATGATTCCTCTAAAAATTAAAACTAGAACTACTGTATGATCCAGCAATCCTATATTGGATTTATATCCAAAGAAAATGAAGTCAGTATGTTGAAAAGATACTTACACTCCAATGTTCATTGCAGAATTATTCACAGTAGCTGAGACATGGAATTAACCCACATATCCATCAACAGATAAGAGGATAAATAAAATGTGGTATAAATACATACAATGGAGTACTATTTAGCCTTAAAAAGAAGGGAATCCTATCATTTGTAACAACATGGCTGAACCTGGAGGACATTATGTTAAGAGACATAAGCCAGGCATAGAAAGACAGATACTGCATGTTATCACTTACATATGGAATCTTAAAAAGTTGAATTCACAAAAGAAGAGAGTAGAATGGTGGTTACTAGGGACAGGGGCCGTGAATGGGGAAATATTGGTCAAAGGGTAAAAAGTTTCAGTCAGACAGGAGAAATAAGTTCTGGAGATCTATTGTACAGCGTAGTGACTGTAATTAATAACCATGTTTTGTATTTTTGAAAATTATGCTAACAGAGTAGAGCTTGATTTAATCATCCCATAATGTATACATGTATGAAAACATCACATAGTACACATAAATCTAAATGGTTTTGTCAATTATATTTTAATAAAGCTGAAAAAATACATGTATAAAAATAGAATTTCAAAGAGCCCTAGACCCTCAATTTCTGAAAGACTGATTTATCTGTTGATAGGTTATTAGACTTCCTAATTTTTCTTCTTTTTTCTTCCTCTGCTAATGTTTTGGCAGTTTAGGAGCCCCAAGTCAAGAACTAGAGAGACAGAAAAAACCTGAAAACAAATCTATTCATTTTGTTACCTTATTAATTTATCTGAAAAATGATTTAGAGGTGCCTTTGTACTTAGAATGAATATCATGATAAGCCAAGTACGAATCTATGAGTCTATTTTCCCTTAACATGTGCTTTCTTTAATAAATGGGTAGAAAAAGATATCTATGAAAGTACTTTGTGGGCAGTGGTGTGCTGGTAAATATTTAACAACCAGCTCTGGGTCTGAAGAAGGCTGCTAATTTGTCTGCTGATTTCTCTGATATAAATACTTCCACAATGGTCAATATCAAGCTATCAATATGATATCATTTAGTGTTCAGTTGGGAAGATACGTACACAATCTGCTCTTGGGAGCCAATACAAGTTGGCTTCTGCAAACCACTATGACATTGAGTGTCGATTTTACTGGGAAAATATATTCACATAAATTCCTTGAGCCATTGCATCAGTTCCCTGCCCCAAGTCTGTTTCTAATACCTTAGAAGTAGTGATATTTCCAAGATAACATGATTTGTGTCACTGACTGAGGGTAAAAGGAAAATTAAATTTCTGATAGGAACAGATTAAAAAGACAAATTTAATAATTTATGTGCAGATTACAAAATACCATTTAGATTAAAACAGTTTTATATTCAAATAAGTCACATGCCTTTCACATGACATACTAATAGTTTTTTGTTTGAAGGTAATGGTTTTAAATAAAGTTTGGCCTTGATTTGGTGAATAAATTGTATTGGAATTGTTTCTAATTGTTGATTGTAGAATCAAGGGGGTCATGTGTTTTAGCTAGAAAATGACTCTATTGTCAGAAGAATTATAACATACTCATTTTAGAGATAAGAGAGTTTGACTAGAACGGTGTTCAGTGACTTTTCGAAAAGCCTGAGTATAAATTAGCCCACAAGTTGATCATAAGAAGTCAAATCTTTCTTCCAGTTTAGTAGCAGGTCTCTTAAACTCAACTCTCCTGTAATAGAGAAAACAGAGTAAACGTGTCCAGAAAAATTCCCCTGCACAGTGACTCCCATATATTTCCTCATAGATTCTTTTAGATGTAGCTCTGTTTTTACTTTTTATGGATTTGTTCCTCCTGAAAGCAGTTTTTGTGTCATTAGTGTGTGCTAGGCACGTGCAACACACAGCCCTGGCATCGCACTCGGAGAATGCACAGAGATGAGCACTGCTTTCTCCGCTGCTGTATTTTGGGATTTGTAAGGGGGAGTAAGGAACCAAAGCATACTGTGTCCTTTAAAGAGAATCAGCTGGGTGCCTCACTGCGTTCACCTTGATGACGGAGAGAGCTGATGGCCTGGTTTTCCAATCCCCCAGTCAGTCTGTTGAAATAAGGATCACACTCATCTGTATAATATAGATATGGCTTTAGCAATTCAGTTATTTTTCTACATTCACTTTAAATTTACAGAAAGATTGTGGAAGAAAAATATGAAGAAAATAACAAACGAATGCAAGAATTGAGATCTCGGAACTTTCAGCAGCTGAGTGTTAATGTACTCCATGTAAGTACCCTCTTACTTTACATTTTACATAAAAATTTTTCTTGCTTCAGATTCATGGCAATGATTGGGTAGGAAAGGGACAATGGAGAAAATAAGAACATTTAGATTAACTTTGCCCAATTCCAGGAAGGATTCTAGAATGTAGGTCAACAGTTGGTGACAACGATTCAAAGCGGCTGTAGCCAGAGGTGGATCAATTGATCCATTTAATAAAAATCAAACGCCTACTCTGTCTAAGACAACTGAATTGGCACTGAATGCATAATTGATGGGTTAAAATGAATAACTGACAGAACAAATGTGTGTGTATCTAATTTTTCATTCCACCCATGCTGTTGTTGCTTTACCTCTTTAGTACATTATTCGCTTTGTCTTGTTTTTTTCTTCTTTTCCTTTTTATTTCGTCTCCTACCCAGTTTGTTGTACATTATGGTAATAACTTCATTCAAACTTGAACTGCCATAGATGTTCAATAATGAATAGAGTTGTAGATTCATGTGAAATGACCCCAAATTCATATCCTTGGCATTCCAAATCTGTAAATAGCAAACACCATTTTATTTGATGGTTGACAGTATCTCTGCAGACCATGGGTAGGCGCTGATTAATAAGGTGGTCTTTACAGTGTCAAATTTGGGCAATAGACATCAATACCAACACCGGGGTGCTTCAGGTAAAAGCAACTTGGGATGAAGTCATTTCTGTGGAGAACTTCTACTGTCTCAAATTCTGGTTATTTATTAATTGGAGATCCCTGCATGTGAGAGATTTTCTCCTTTAGCAGGAATCGCCAAGCACCAGAGGCTGTGGGGACAATCCCCCAAGCCCCAGGAATGCTATTTCTTTTGTAGCTTGGTTATCAGAGGGCTCCAAACCCTGGGGCATGCAGGAGAGCTCACCCTCAGCCAGACAGGGCCCCACTTTAAGTGGGAGAGCTGCCAGTGATGCATCTTTCTCAATTATTTAGGGGTTCTGGGTGCTTTGGAGTTCTAAAAATCCCAAGTTGGAAGCAATAAGAGGCCTAGTTTCCTCTGACCTCAGGACTCTTCCTCTGTTTGATGGACCAGTTAGCAGACAATGTGGGATGCTGATGATAAGGACCCAGTTCCCTCTCCCTTTTCCCACCCATCTGCCATTCTATTTAAGTGAAGCCTCCCTGGGGATCTGCTGCAGGCTCCAGAGACTTGGGAGATGGTTTCTTTCCTGCTCAGGGAACTTGGTGAGTGAAGGACTTACTGGCTAAAGGGCCATGAGGTCAACAATAGGGCTGGGTCCCTAGTTGGAGAAGGGTGTTGAGGCCACCACTGTGGAAGTGCTCAAGCCCCTCTGAAAACCGGGTGCCTTTCTTCAGCTTCCCACATGCTTCTAGGCCCTGCACATGATAGCCCATGAAGGGGAGTCTTTTTCTCTGGTTCAGTCGGCTTTGTCCCCCACAGTGCTGAGAACTGTACATTCCCACAGATCCTGAGAAGGAGGCTGACAAAATTATAAGGATTCTGAGTTTGTTAACGTGTAAATTACTTGCTTTTTCAGCTATAGAAATGAGGACGTGTTTTTCTAGAATGCTCAGGGATCCCTAATTCTAAGGGATTTTCCCCCTAAGATTTAAAATTGAGAAGTAGAGGCATGGTATTATTTTGTTTTATAAAATCTAAATGACATCATTCTTGAGGCTACTATATGGCAGAAAAGAAATTTAGTTTCAAATATGAGCTTAAATAATAGTGTCTGTTAATTTACTTAACTTTTTTGCTTCTCTTTTTTGACCCTTCAAGATCACCCTGTTTGTTTTCTTTTTTATTGGACGGTATTATTATTGGTGTTATTACTACGTTGTATGAGGTCTTGCCTTCCTCTTAGAAATCAAGGTCCTTCTGAGGTCCTGAAGTAAATGAGGATAAGCCTGAGACCATATGGCAGACACAATCCCAAGAAATGTTGTTATCCATATGTTATTTTCACAGAACACGGGAGCTAGACACTAAGTTCTGATCTTGGCCCAACTCAGTAAAGAAAGAGAGGATTTCACAAGGATCCTATGAGTTCCCAACTCATGACTTTCTCAGTGACTTCCGAGTTTCATCCTCTTTCCATCAGCAAGGAGCAAAGGGAGCAGGAGGAGAAGCGACTGATGCTGATGCTGTTCTGGCTAAAGTCTGTGGTTCGTGCTGAGATTTAGTGCCACCACTGTCTTTGACCCTGAGCTTTCCAGAAGCATGTTTCCTACGTTTATATATTGATGGGGGCAGAAATGCTCCAGGCAGATAAATGGCTGTTGAATCTGTTCTGCTTGAACACTGTCCTCTTGCCAGCTGGTTCGGGCCTGCAGCCTGGGTGGCTCAGCACACCCAGGCATCATGCCCTCTTTTGTGCAGTCACATCAGCCATTTCCCTCTGGCATGTTGTCGGCATCCCACCTCTCTTTCAACTGTTCAGGAAAACCTTCTCAGCCCACTCGGGTCCACAATCAATGGACCCGCCTCCAAATTCTTACGGCTTATTGTATTCTCACACTTGAAATGCACCTGGATCACCTATGAATCTTGTTAAGATGCAGATTTGATTAGTCCAGGGTGCAGCCTGAGATGCTGCATTTCTTATAAGCCTTCTGCTAATTTCAGTGCTGGTGGTCTGATTCCTATGTACACTCTGATTAATAATGAATAGAAAATGGGCCTCCCAAAGTCAGCACTTCACCTTCAGATGAAGGAAGATTTGGAAAACCACTGCTGAATAGACCTGGTCATAATCTCTTTAGGAAAAAACACATTTAATAGGAATGGTAGAAAAGGAGGAGCAATCTGAGGGAAGACTTTCTTGTTCACCCCAGGACGAGGATGAAGTGAGGTGGCAAGGCAGGGAAGAGGCAAGTTTAACGATACTCACAAGCTCAAAAGTGAGGCAGGTTTAATGATATCCAGAGAACAAAGGAGAAAGAAAATGGGAAGCCGAACACTTTGCAGAGGAGCATGACAAGTGTTAAACGTAGCAGGAAAAAGCTTCATTGAGCTGAAAAAGATGAAATAAATATAGGAAAGAAGTTAGATTAACAAGAGGCTAAAGAAAAATGTGATAAAGAAGGAGAAGAGAAAGAGGAAAATGCTCCCATCTTTGAATGTTTTCCTTCCCGTTGCTCATATACACGTTTCTGATTTAATTGCTTACTAATCTTATTGTGGCTCTGTTTTGTATTCCTTCTTTTTTCTCTCTTGCCTGACAGAAGCAACTACTTTATAATTTAAAAGCTCTTACAGAAGAGAATCAGAGTTATGGGAGAGCATGGGCTCTATGTCGCCTCTTAAACATGTTATAAAAATTATTCGAGGCATGCCGGAGAGTAGCTTCCTTTGTTTTTCAGACCCTAGCTGACATGGCCTTTTATTTTGGCAAGCATTTGCTGCTTGACTGAATTTGGGCTTTGAAATCTTGTAGCACCATCGAATGTGGAATCATGTTAGGCACTGTTTCTCTAAAGAAAGACAGCTTAAAACAGATACCATAATACGTAAGACAGGCCAGGTCTGTCTTTGATCCTGTAGCATCTACAGTTGTGCTGGTGCTAACGTTAGGTCTCTGTGAAAAGTACATAGTAGATCAGGTCTCCATACATGGAGTGGTAATGGGGACCAAAGATCAGACCGTGTCCTTCTCTTTCTAAGAGAAGCAGTTGTAACAATTCTGTATTTCTCTTCAAAGAGAACCTCAGCAAATCAAAGTTAATTGATATTCCAAATGCATACCTATTTTCAAATAATTACTGAAGTACGCTTAAAGAACATATTTCATGTACTCTCTGTTCTTTATTCATAAAGTTCTCTGTGTGCTCTCGGTGATCCTTTGAAATTTGAAACCAGTTTCACCTCCTGAAACAATTATACAGTACAGAAAACTGACTTCTGAAAAATACTTTATGATGATATTCTCACAAATACTGCACTGCAATGTGGCATGGCTTCTTTTTACTTATTCAATTAAGATTAGTTTAAACTTTCTTTTAAACTTTCTTTTATTAAAAATACACTCTTGGAGTGGTTTCCCACGAAAACCATTTATCCAGAAAAATAGATCACCTCAGCACCAGCTCCGGGTTCAAACACAAATACACACACACAAAACTAAGGGAAACAGACAAAGTGATTTATTGATTTTGGCTAAACCTTTAATTTTTTTGAAGTGTGTATTCTTTCATCAAGTGGTCTCTTAGATCTTTTTCTTTAAGGAAATTGGAATTCATAGACTCGCAGAGCTTTAAAGCTAGAGAGGAGCTTGTAAGTCATTCAAGCTAACACCTTTAATTTTGAGATGCAAAAACTGAGCAGGGCTGGAGTAGGGTGTGGTGAGTGGAATACCCTAGGGGCCAAATCGAAGGAGGTCCTCTCAGTTGTCCGTGGGGTGAGTGCCTTGAGCTGGTGCCTTGGGCATCCCACTTGGCTTACCTAGTCATGATCCTGAAACTGAAGCCCGTGAAGGTTAAATGCTTTGTGCAAGGTCACCTGTCTCATTGATTCAGGGCTGCTTCTCTTACCCCAAGTTACCTACTGAAGTTTGAAAATGTTTAATCGGGAGGATTAGGTAGACTTGTTGCCAAGTAGTCTTCAAAATAAGAATACTTCTTTCATTTGCGGTAGTGCTGTTTCCTTCTGTCAACTTTTCATGAATTGTTAATTACCTTCCACAAGGAATCTGATGAACCGACTTCAGAGAACCTGCCTGAGTCTCAGCCTATTCCTTCCCTGGACCTCAACAAACTCGAATCCATTGTAGAAGACATCACATCTGACCTCGGATATCATGGTATGTGTTTGCATTGGTTTTCAGAAGGATGCTCCTAGCTGCTGCCCCGGTTGCTGTGGCTGACTTTGCAGTGGGCCTGTCTGGCCTCTGAGAGAAGCTCTGGGTGTGTGTATGCAGCTCCCTGCTCTCAGTTTACCAGGGCTAGGCAATGACCAGGATGAAAAGTAGAGAAGCCCAAGGATTTTTCTGTCCTCTCTATCTTCTTTGCAATCATGAGGATGAGTTGGAAACTCACACCTGGTGAGGGACCTCTTCTGGGTGTGTTAAACAATGTTGTCCTTAACCTGACTTTGGAATCATGCAAACTCTGAATGCTCTGTGTTTCCCTGTTCTGTAAATGGTTCTCCCAACCCTTATACATTTAAATGAAGAAATGAAGCCAGACTTTGGAAAATCGGCTATGCCATGTGCAGTCATTACCAGAAAATAAAAGTTCTCGGAGCAGGAATACAAAGGCAGGCCTGTAGAATGGCTGACTTTGCTGGAGGACTTCCTGATGCCTTTGCTACCTCAGTCTGCACAGCAAACTGGTACACTTCCAGCAAACCTCTCTTTTCACTTGGAATAAGACTTTCCAAATGGAGCAGATACATCCAAATGGAGTAGGTACATCATAACCTAATGGTTAAATGCATGAGTTTTGGAGTAAAAAAGTTGGCCCTGTCAGAGAAGCCCCTCACAACATAATCTCTCTAGGTCTCAGTTTTCTTATCCATGAAACAAGAATAATAGTGCCTTCTTTCAGGGTTGTTGTGACGAGCAAATGAGATATGGCATGTGGAGTGATCTTAGTTCAGTGCCTAGCATACAGTAAGTGCTACAGAAGGGGAAGCAGTTATGACGCTTCGAGCAGAAGAGGGTTATCAATATAGGTGCCTTCTCAGTCTTGTTCACCATCCTCCCCAGTGCCTACAGCAAAGTTCCAGGAACATTCTAAGCATTCGTTAAATATTTCTTGAATGAATTAATGAGTGCACAAATACATGAATGAATGTTAGTCTGGACCTCCGCGAAGCAGATGTCAAGATGGAACTAAAATTGCAAGCTTCCTTTTAGAGAAAATGCCTGCATAAAAGAAAATAGGGAAGAGCTAGAAAAAAAAAAACCAGGGGAACCGTTAGACCACTGATTAAAGGCTCATTCAAAGTGGAAAGAGAGATTTGGTGGACGTGAACTTGATTGCTCTACAATCAGTGGTAACAAAGGCATCAGGAAGTCCTCTAGGAAAGTCAGCCATCCTAGAGGCCTGCCTTTGTATTCCTACTGTGCTCCAGCAGTAGCTGTTACATGTAAATTTTCAGTGCCTAAAAGAAGTAGCACTCAAATACAAATGTCCTCAGCAAGGCAATTTGCTTCTATAGAAGGCTGCGGCTCACAGATGGAACAATGGCGAGTGCACACCTGGACAAGGGAGGGGAAGGGGCTCTTATTCCTGATGGAGGTAGCCCCAACTGCTGTCGTTCCCCTACTGGCTAGGGTTAGAGCACACAGTCTAGTCTAATTCCAGTTGGCTATTTTAAGGGGAGCAGGGGCACAAGCTGGAGTGTGGGGGGGTGGGGAGTTTGGCGGGAAGGATGGTTATGGGACAGGTCAGAGCAGGTAGCCAGGGGTGACCTAGGTCAAAGCAGATGACCGGGGCAGGTGACTAGGATGAGTCAGGATAGATCAGGGGACCGGGGCAACAGATGTGAGCTACTGATTAGGGCTGGTGGAAAAGATTGTTAACTGAAACTACAAGGAAGTTAAACTTTAAAATGGAGGACAAATAACTGAACATACTGACATACTGATTCTTTGAAGAGAAATTCAGAGTTCAGTATATCTAACAGAGCCCCTGGGGAAGCATTGTAGCCTCTGAGAGAATGCAGAGATGGATTTCAGAGCACAGCAGCTGGGATCCTTGGCCAGTTGCACTCTGTGTTATTGCAGGTCTGCAGGTGTATCCTTACAGCTGCACAATGATGTAACAACTCTCTTGGGCAGCAGTTTAGCTGTCTTCTCAAATTGAGAATAAAGGTAGTGAACCTTGGGTTATCTTGTCATCTCATCCCAGATTTTCATTTTCACTTGAAGTCTTCTTGATAGAGCTGTTAGAACTTGTGCTGCCTCTTTCAGATGTTTGGAGACAAGCACCTGAAGCTCTTTAGATCGGCATTAGCCCGCTATGGAAGCCATCTTATAACAGACATCCTTAACAAACAAATGTGTACATCAGAGGAATTTCTATCTTAGGCCTCTTATGGTATTTCTTTAATATTTTATTTGTTAGTTTCCAAAAGCGAAATTCGGAAGTATAGAAATATCCCATGGACTTCTATTTCTAAGAATAGAAATATCAGAGACATTAGAACCAGAGCAACTCCATTGCCAGGAGGTTAAGGCATTCTTAGTCACAGGATGAGACAGGAGGCCAGCACAAGATACAGGTCACAAAGACCTTGCTGATAAAGGGGTTGTAGTAAAGGAGCCAACCAAAGCCCACCAAACCCTAGATGGCGATGAAAGTGACCTCTGGTCATCCTCATTGCTCATTATACATAAATTGTAATGCATTAGCATGCTAAAAGTGGGAGGAATCTTTATTTCTCGGAGTTTCCCACCCCTTTCCTGAAAAATTGATGAAGAATCCACCTGCTGTTTAGCATATAATCAAGAAACGACTATAAGTCTATTCAGCAGCCCCTGCCACTGTTCTGCCCATGGAGTATCATTCTTTTGTTTCTTTACTTTCTTAATAAACTTGCTTTCACTTTTCTCTATGAACTTGACTGAATTCTTTCTCATGCGAGGTCCAAGAACCCTCTCTTGAGGGTTGGACCCCTTTCCAGTGACAGAAAGCTGAGAAAGTTGGCCGGGCACAGTGGCTCAAGCCTGTAATCCCAGCACTTTGGGAGGCCGAGGCGGGTGGATCATGAGGTCAAGAGATCGAGACCATCCTGGTCAACATGGTGAAACCTTGTCTCTACTAAAAATACAAAAAATAAGCTGGGCTTGGTGGCACGTGCCTGTAATCCCAGCTACTCAGGAGGCTGAGGCAGGAGAACTGCCTGAACCCAGGAGGCGGAGGTTGCGGTGAGCCGAGACCACGCCATTGCACTCCAGCCTGGGTAACAAGAGTGAAACTCCGTCTCAAAAAAAAAAAAAAGAAAGTTAGGCAGTATGTAGTTCCCAATACCTGTGGCTTGTGCTCTGCTGGAGGACAGAGCCATCACTATTTATGCATAGGAAGCCCCACGACAGGATATTGAATGGGTGGTCTAGGATAAAAAAGTCTGAGTTTCCTCCTGGTTTCAAATAGGAAAATTACTTAATAATACTGCATTTCATACATGAGAAGCCAAAGAAATTAAGTGATTCGCTTAAGGACTGCAGAGTTCCTGTTTTCTACCTAGTACACCACCCTTTCCACTTCCCCCAAAGCGTGTGTTTTCATTGGTGGTGGATAGAGACAACGGACTTGTAAGAGGCAGAAAAACATGTCAAAGGAATTTGACTTTATTTCTTTTTTTGTTTTTAAGCTGGAGTCTCGCACTGTTTCCTGGGCTGGAGTGCGGTGGCACGATCTCCACTTACCGCAACCTCCGCCTCCTAGGTTCAAGCGATTCTCCTACCTCGGCCTCCCGAGTAGCTGGGATTACAGGCCCCCATCACCACGCCCAGCTAATTTTTTGTATTTTTAGTAGAGACGTGGTTTGACTATATTGGCCAGGCTGGTTTTGAAGGCCTGACCTTGTGATCCACCCACCTCAGCCTCCCAAAGTGCTGGGATTACAAGCGTGAGCTATCATGGTACCTGGCCAGGAATTGGACTTTGGAAAGGCAGAATCTTTGTCATGTGTCTCTGTGCTAATTTTTGTAAACCGTAGTGGCCAAATTACTCCCTAGCTAGTCTTGACCGTAGCTACTATGGGAAACTCAAGCTATGTTCTTCTTACCTCTCATTTTCTTTTGTCATGGAGGTTTCAGTATGGTAGACAGTGTATTGATTCAGCAGCCAAACTGGAAATGGCCAAATCTACTTCTTTGACCACCTTGTTCATGTTGTAAGTGTAAACACTACTTAGGACTCTATGATAAACTATCAGATTAGAAAACATACATAATAGTTTTAGATCAATCAGATGCCTTGTAAAATACTTTAAACATTTCCCTTATTTATTTCCTCTCTGTAAATTCATACTTTCTAAGTGCTATTCTTTCTTAATATTAAATTCAAAAAATAAATTTAGAACTGTGAAAATATAACCTTGTTAGGCATTTATGTTGATTCTGTGTCTTTGCTATTGTGAATAGTATTATAATGAAATTAAATTAAAAGTAAAAACAGAAGAAAGAAAGAATGCAATCTTTGGGTTTGACAAATCTTTAGAATGGTGGGCAACTACCAGATAATTAGTGATCACAGAGATTAACTGAAATGAAATTTGGAAACATGAGACTTAATTTGTTGATGAACTCTAAAGTGATTAATTATTTTCCCAATGCTTTTTGCCTTTTAAAGATTAGACTGCAAACTTTCAGCACCCAAAGGAAGTTTTTGTTTATTTTTTATCTAGCATATATATATAAAATAAAATTACAGTCATTCTTTCAAAGCTCCTACACCAAATGTTTAATCAGTCTTTGATGTTGAATTGGAAAATTCCCTCTGGGCTATGAGGAGTCAGTTGCAGAGAAAAAAGACAGGATAAGACTTATCATTTACATTTGATATGCATGAGTTGACTACTGCTGATTTAATCTAGAGAAAGTCGTGGGTAACCATTATAATCAAATGAGAAAGTATAACTGGAATGTCAAAGAAATTATCCCTATTTAACTCCTTATATGTGATGCTAATGATTTCTTGCACATTAAATTTTGCCGGGAACTTCCTTGTATTCTAACCTTTTGTGTGTGTGTGTGTGTGTGTGTGTGTGTGTGTATTTACTTTATTTTATTTTATTTAGTAACTCACAGCTGAGTTTCAGAGCAGTGTTTTTTGCAAAGCTGGAATTGCC